CCCAAGGTGGCGCTGAGAAGCCCCCCCACCCCACCCCCGGAGCAACTGCAGCTCCAGAATTCCCCTTTCCCTTTGGGATCTGTCTGTCAGGGCCTGATGAAGAGTGCTGTGCAGATCCGAGCTCCAATACAGTGCTTGAGAAGCCCCCGGCTACGGGGCTGGAGAGAACAAATCTTCCCGTTTCCCTTGCAAATGATGAGATGAGGGGTCGATTGAGAGACCGCCCTGCAGTCCCATGAAGTCACTCCAGGTGAGTTTTCTGGTGACAGTGCCGGGTCTTCTCACTTCTAGCACTTTTTTCTTTTTCAATTTCCCACTGGCACTTCTTTGGTGCCAGGTTTCTCGCCCAAGCCTCCACCTAGCTTCGGTCTCCAGCCAAGATCAGCTGAGCTGGGCACCGTGGCCCCTGGCTGTTGAACCCAGGCCCCATCAGCTGCTCAGGGAAGCCTCTGGCACCCTCTGGCTTCAGTTCAGCAGCTTGGGATCCACCCTGCATGCTTAACCTCGCTATGAGTTTTTGCAAGTGACATAATAGTATTAATGTTAGCCTCTGTTCTTCACTTTTTACATTATCGGCTCTTAATTTTGTTAGCCTCCTTGATCAGAAAGCTGGGGTGCAAATCAAGCGCCCTTATTCTGGAGGTCAAGTGCACACCAGCCCTGCCTGCTTTTCAGCATGCAGCTGTAGATCCGGATTTCTACTTTGGCATTCAGGATCCAGCATCCACAGCCAGACTGGGCCCTGTAGTCCTTCATCCAAGCTGAGCCTCTCTTCCCTGAAAACAGCTTTTACTCAGCCTTGTGCCGGAACAAGAAGAAGCACAGTATCACACAGGTTCTTTCCCTTCAGGTTTTCTTCATGACTTTATCAGTAACAAACAGCCCTGAGATGTTTGGGATGGTGTGTGTGTGTGTGTGTGGTGGGGGGTGTTATAAAGATTTTAATTAGTACACAAACACTAGAACCGAAGGCAATATTTGGAGAAGAATTGGCAAAGTCTGTGGAGGAAAATTGAGGTTCCAAACCATCCAGTAACTTGTCTTTGTCACCACTTGTAGGAAGCATCTCCAAATTCTCTTTCTGGGGGTCACCAAAGCAAAGCACCTCCTTCTCCCGTCAGGGTGCGTTTAAAAGACCCACCCCCACTCCCCACCCGTGGGCTTGGTTTCAACAGCAGACTTTCCAAAGGCTTAATTGAGGGCGGGCCGGGAGCTCAAGTTCCAGCCGCTGGCCGGCAGTCGCTGGATCT